AGAAAACCCAGGAATCAGGGTGTCCAGTTGCAAAGTGGTTGGGGTCAGGAGAGACCATATGTTTCCAAAGTTGCAGATACAACAAAGCCCCCAAGCCTGGAAGGCCTGGGAGGGCAGGAATGTGCCGAGCACGTAACAGCTCAATAAACCCTCCTGGATGGAGAGGTGAAGGCCTCCGTGAGTGAGGCCCAGCCGGGGAGAAGCTCGGTGTTCATTTCTCAGGCCAGAGGAGCAGGTCAGAGTGAAAGCTGTTCAACTAGTCCGGTCCTGGGGCCTACCCGCCTCCCTCACGGTCCCACTGCAGCCCCTGCCCTCATGCTCACATCCTCTCTGGGAGCAGCGGCAGCGAGCACGGATTTCAGAGGCGAGAGAGAGCCCTCGGCGTTCTATGATGCACTCGTGACACACGCTGCCACAGACGGGAAAGTCGGCCCGGGAACTCACCTAAGCACATGCCAAGAGGCGGGCTATTTGGGGATGCGTGTTACCCGGATGGCCTGGGGATGAACACAGCTACAGTTACTGTCAACGACAAGGCGTCCTATCTCCACGGCTCACGCAGCCAGCCGTGCGCCGTGGGTGCGGGGAAGGTGGACGAGAGCCAAGCAAGCTCCCAGGCAGGAGGGAGAGGCACAGTCCCTTGCCAAGGAAGGCGGAGGCGCGATTTCTCAGGAAGACCAGTCACCTTGCCCCGGTGGCCTCAGTGAGGAGCCCCACCTCACTCAGGGGAACTCCGGACCGAAGGCAGGAGGAACCGGAGAGCCAGAGGCCTCCTGGGATGTCCCCATTCATGGGATGCCCCCAGCACCACGGGAGCTGTGGCTAAAAGGAAAGGTTTCCTGGCTGACAAGGCTCTTCAGGAGTCTCGGTAATGAAGCTCGGTGTGCTCAGCTGGGGGGCAGGGTGGGCGGCCCGGGGCTCGGGCTGCGTGCACACGTCCCCGCATTTCCACTTGCAGCAGACAGCCTTGAGCAGACCTCCCGGAGCCTCAGTGTGTGCGTCTGTAGCACCGGACAGTAATCACTGCCACAGTTCCTTTCCCAGATCGGGGCAGGCAGGTCAGATAACCGTACATTCAACTACCTCCCTCCACAGCCTGAAACCGCTCAGCAAAGGCCACCGTGTCACTTACCAACCAGCCTCATAAACACGGGGTGTCTGACTCCCCGCTGAACAAAGGGAGCCATCTGGCATGTCTGGTGCCTCTTTCTTTCTTATTCTCAGAGACATGCGAATAAATGTTGATTGAATAAATACGGCATTGGTATGTAAAGGGAAACATCACAGTGTGTTTCAATCAGTTAGATCTAAGAAAGGTTTTGTCCGATGTGAACTGTCACTCAAGGATTCTACTCAGATTCTCACCTTCTGTTCTATTCCACTTTGTGTCATATAACATTTGTGCTCCTTCAGAGCAAAACTGTGTCTCAATCATCCCACATGGGCCAGGACTTGGTCTTGATCGGAGCTGTATCCCCAGCGCGCAGAACATGCCCTTGTGCTCCGTAAGGCTCAGTAAGGCTATGGTGAATGAATGAATGGTTTGCAACCTATAGTATAAGGCTAAGCACTCAGCAGATGTGTGTTGGATGAATAAGTTACTAAATAAGGGGAACACTGTCTTTTACTGATGTCCCTTTCCAGCGCTCCCAACACAGGCAGCAAAACTAAGTGGGTAGGGAGTCAGGCTCTGGAGTTGGGTGGTCCAGATTTTAATCCTGGCTCTTGTTTACTAGCTGGGCAACCTAGAGTGAGCTCCTGACCCTCTCTGTGCTTCAGTTTTCTCACCTCTAAGCTGGGGATAATAATAATTTTTCCAGGAGGGTTTTATGGATTCCCTTGGAGGATACTTAAAATATTTAACAGTGCCCAGCACATAGTCACTGCTGCTATTTTTTAATGACCACATCACTCTCTTAATAACCTTCATGGCTCCTCTCTAGCTACAGCATAAGATCTAAAGTCAAGGTCCCCACAATTTGGCCCCGATGTCCCTTCCTTCCGGTCCCACTTACCCATACTTCAACACCAACTACCTTCACTGGCTTCCAGACGCTCCTCTAACTAATGTGTATCCATTAGCTTGTTTCCTTTCTCACACGGCCCTGGACTTCTTATTGCCCGTATTTCACTGATGATGTGACCGAGGCTCAGAAAGGGGACATGGCTTCCCCAGGGACACACAGCTTATCCCAGGAAAGTGGGACTCCACTCAGGACTCTCTGACATGCAAGTTTATGCTCCTGGTCACCAACCTCTGAAATCCCTGCCATGCACAGTGTGACCTAGGAACCAGCACTGCCAGCCCTACCCGGGAGCTTGCTGGAAATGGAGACCCTCGGGCCCCACCTCACACCTACTGAACCAGAATCTCAATTTTAGCAAGATTCCCCAGGTGCCTACCAAGCGCAGTCAGGTTTTAGAATCACTGTTGTAAACCACTTTGGACCAGTCAGACAGAACTAATGAAGTCAAATATGTGATCTCAGTTAATCCCTACATCAGTCTGAGAGCTCATCTGAGGTCAGCATTATTATCCCTTTTTACAGATGGGGACACTAAGGCTCTGAGGGATAAGTACAGCCATGCGACGCTTGACAACAGGGATGCATCCTGAGAAATGCGTCCTTAGGTGATTGCGTCATTGTGCAGACATCACAGAGCACTGCATAAGCCTAGAGGGCTGGCAGGTAGGTGGCACAAGTCATTAGGAAACGAACCAAATGCCCTCCAGTCTAAAGATGAAAATTTGTCTATGCCGGGACCGGTTTGGCTCAGTGGATAGAGCATCAGCCTGCATTCTGAAAGGTCCCGGGTTCGATTCCGGTCAAGGGCATGTACCTTGGTTGCACGCACATCCCCAGTTGGGGGTGTGCAAGAGGCAGCTGGTCGATGTTTTCTCATTGACGTTTCTAACTCTCTGTCCCTCTCAATTCCTCTCTGTGTAAAATCAATAAAATGTATTAAAAAAAAAAAAAAAGAAAAAGAAAATTTGTCTATATGTACAAGTGGAGTGTTAGCAGGAGTAAGGCTTGCCCATCCCCGAGAGTAGATAAAGGACACAGGTTACTCACCACTCGGATCTTTGGGCTGACACAGGATGGCAGAGTGACTTTAAAAAAAAAAAAACTTTAAAAATATATATATTTTTTATTGATTTTTTACAGAGAGGAAAGAAGAAGGATGGAGAGTTAGAAACATCGATGAGAGAGAAACATCGATTAGCTGCCTCTTGCACATCCCCCACTGGCAATGTACCCGCAATCAAAGTACATGCTCTTGACCAGAATCGAACCCGGGACCCCTCAGTCCGCAGGTCTGCAGGCTGATGCTCTATCCACTGAGCCAGACCAGTCAGGCAACTTTTTAAAAGAACTTTTAAAAATGTGTTTTTTATTAATTTTTAGAGAGAGGGATAGAGCGATAGAAACATCCATGAGAGAGAAACATTGTCGATCAGCTGCCTCCTGCATGCCCCCCACTAGGGATTGGGCCCGGAACCCTGGTATATACCCTGACCAGGAATTAAACTGGTGACCTCTTGGTTCATGGGTGGACACTCAACCATTGAGCCACACCAGCCAGGCAGAACTGACTATTGTAACAAAATTTGCTTATATTTGAAAATCTAATCCTCATTTTATTTTAAGACCATCAAAAGGAAACCTATTCAAATTCCCTGGGTTAAAATCAGGTCCCAGATCCTGTCATTTCACAAGAGAAATAAAAAAAAGACGAAAGTGCTTTTAATGTCGGGCAAAGAGCTCTGAGACATAGAACCCCACGGGCTGGTTCTCTTTGCAGAGAATGTGGGCAAACCACATGTTTCCAAGCCCCAGTTTCCTCGTCTGTAAATGAGGGGGTTGGACGAGTTTCTGAAACTCTAAGAGGCTGAGCTACAAAATGAGAGAAATGTGAGCCCTTGGCTGCTATGATCTGAAAATATTTTGAATGTAGAGAATCAGACGTACAGGAGGGCTGGAACAAAATAATACGTTAATGACTAAGAAAATTCTATCGAATCCAGTGGGAACCAGCAGAGCAGCTGCTGGGGGTGGAGGTGTGTGTGTGTGTGTGTGTGTGTGTGTGTGTGTGTGTGGCGTCTCCTCGTGTGCGGCTTTCTTCCTTGAGCTCAAACATCTATTTTGAATCACTAATATGGTAATCAGGCCTCTGGCAGCCCATCTTGCCCAAACACACATACACATGCACGCACACTGCACACACGCTCACACACACATGCACACCCCACTTCAAACTAAAATGGGGTGAAATTCCACCATTGTTGTTTGCTTACTAGTACATCCTTGCTGCATTTGAGTGGGGTGTTTGGTGTGTGGGTTTTGTTTTTCTGTGTGTGTGTGTGTTTACCGTAAATAAATTTCCATCCTGGTGAAGGTGTTGAGTTGACGGCTTCTGGAGGGAGGCCTCTGATCTCTGCAAAGGGCCGCGTGGGCCTGGAGCTGGGGGCTTTCTTCTTATAATTTTCCTTGTGCAAACTCCCTGCCCCTTACCGTCCAGTCCAGCATCGGGGCCCCAAGCTCTCCAAACGGGAGAGGTCGGACCCCGCAGCCCCAGAAGCGCCCCGGGCGGCCCAGCACGTGCCCGGGGCTCCCCGCGGGGGGGCGCTAAAGGGGGGGACATGCCCGCACACCTGCGACGCCCCTGGCTCGGGTTCCGCAGGAGGGTGAGCTCCCCACCCCGCTCCCTCGGGGAGGCGGAAGCGAGCCAGAGGCCGCATGCGGTGGCTCCCGCGAGCCCCCCAGGACGCCCCCCGCCCCCCATTCCCTCCCCTGCCCCCCGCGCCGGGCCGTCGGAGCCGCTCGCGCCCGCAGAGGCGGAGGCGAGGCCGCCCCTCCCCGCCCGCCCGACGGCCGCGCCCGCGCCCGCCCGCCCGCCCATTGGGCCCCGCGGCAGGTGCGCCCCGCCCCTCGGCGCTCCAGGTGCGGCGGAGGGACCGGCCGCGGTGCCGGGCCGGGCGGCGGCGGGCGGCCGGCACCATGGCCGAGTCGCAGCTGAGCTGCCTGGACGAGGCCCACGTGAACGAGCGGGTGACCGAGGCGCACGCCGCCTTCTACTACTGCGAGCGGCGGCGGGCGGCGCTGGAGGCGCTGCTGGGCGGCGGCGAGCGGGCCTACCGGGAGCGGGTCCAGCGGGAGCGGCTGCGGGACTTCCTGTCCAGCCACGAGCGCCTGGCCCTCCGCGCCGCCTGGAGCCCCTACGAGGACGCCGCCGCCAGCCCCGCCGCCCGCGGCAAGGCCAAGGCCAAGGCCAAGGCCAAGGCCCCTTCGCCGCCGCCGGCCGCCGCCGCCGCCGAGCCCAGGGAGTCCCTGGCCTACTGGCCCGACCGCTCCGACACCGAGGTGCCCCCGCTGGACCTGGGCTGGACCAACACCGGCTTCTACCGCGGCGTGAGCCGCGTCACCCTCTTCACCCACCCCCCCAAGGAGGAGAAAGCGCCCCACCTCAAGCAGGTGATCAGGCAGATGATCCAGCAGGCCCAGAAGGTAGGCCCTGGCGTCCCCGCCGCCGCCTTATGGGTGGGGGACCTCACACCCAGTTCTCTGGGACCAGACCCTCCACCCCAGGGGCAAACGGCCCTGCCCACCCTGGGGGCAAATGGGTCCAGGATGCCTCATTCACACCCTGGGGCTGTGCGGAGGCCTCTGGAGGGTGTATGCGTCCGCGGTGGCAAATTACAAAGTAATGAGCAGGTGTTGGTCATTATCACAGGGTCCAGGGCGCTGGCTTCCACCTGCCATGTGCTTCTGTGTCCCCGTGAAGTTCCTACCCCCGGGGAAGACCCAGAGGCTGGTGGGGCCACTCAAAGGTCATGGCCATACCTGCCTGCTGCCCAAGGTTTTACAAGACATTTCCCTGGCCATTCCCTCATTTGATCTTCAAAACAGCCTCCGGAAGCCGGCGGTTTGACCTCCTCACCTCTGCCCTGGCCATGATGCTCTTAGCCTGTGGCGGAGTCAAGGTCGGCCTAGCTAGCCCATCGGGTTCCCACTCCCAGCTAGAGCTCAAGCCGCCTGGAATGAATGAGGAAGCGTGAGCACCTACTATGTGCCTGGCTCTGTGCTGGGCACTTGGACGAGGCAGGTCGCTGGACTCAGCAGCTCAGAAAAAACTCCCACTGTCCTCACGAGCTACGCACAGGAGCCAAAAGGAAGGAATGCGCCTGATTAGAACACAGGAAGGGCCGGGAGTTTGTGGGGCAGAAAAAAAAAAAAAGATTTTAATCTTTACTCCGTGCCCTTGGGTAGAGTTCCCAGCTAAACGACAGGACGCCCCATTAACTTGGAATTTCAGCTAAACCACAAATACTTTTTTAGTATTACTATGCCCCACATAGTGCATGGGGCATACCAAATATTAAAAAGTAAGTCGTTATTTATCTGAAACTCCGAGTTCACCGGGCATCCTGTGTTTTGTTTACTCAGTCCGGCTCCCCTCCACGGGGATTTGCTAAGAAACACCAGCAGCCTTTGGTGTCTGGTTCAACATGGACAACAGGAGCGGCTTGGGTGCACGGTTCTGATTCAGCTCCGGGCACGTGGTCGGAGTTCAGTTCCCTCCGGAGACAGAACGGCCCGGGGAGGGAGGACTGACCTGGAAAGACCAGCGGGGGCGGGAGGTGGTGCAGAGGCACCTCTTCCAGGAAGGGGTGGCGAGGCAGGTTGTTGGCTAGATTGGCCACCAGAAGGAAGGATTCGCTTGCTCCTTCCTTCCCCCCTCTCTTTCCTACGTAATTCTTCTTTGTGGGCCTGGGCTGTCTTTGCGTATTCATTGCATTCGGCAGCAGACAGGCAGGTTTGGACAGGGGAGGGAGGACGCGGTGACTGTTGGGCGGCAGGCTGCCGCGGGGTCAAGTCTGGTAACGCGAACAGGCCTGGACGCATCAGCGCTCGGTGTGTGCCAGCCGCGGCGAACACGGTTTGCCTGCAGTTTCTCCTGTGCTTTTCCCGACAGCGAGGGGAACTGGCGTTTCCCCTTATTTTTGGATTCAGAACAGTTAAGTTACTTGCTGAGAGGGTCACATGGCTGGTTAAGGGGTTGAGCCAGGATTTAAACGCCGGAGTCCTTGCTCTCAACCACTGTGTAGCCTGCTCTGCTGCCTGGTGATGGTGCGGCAGGATGAAGCCAAGGAGTTCGAGTGGCATTAGCCTGGTCACTGCCTGGTTCCAGGTTGTGTACCCCCCTTGCAAGAAGGGATGAGCAGGGCCCCTGGGACTACTTATCTTCTTATTGTTGTTGTTGTTGTTGTTGTTGTTTATAGAGAGGAAGGGAGAGGGATAGAAAATTAGAAACATGGATGAGAGAGAATAATCTATCAGCTGCCTCCTGCATACCCTCTACTGGGGATGTACCTGCAACCAAGGTATAATACATGCCCTTGATCAGAATCGAACCTGGGACCCTTGAGTCTACAGGCTGATGCTCTATCCACTGAGCCAAACTGGTCAGGGCTGGTGGAGTGTTCTTAACTCTTTAACCATTTAACAACAGAAATTTTAACCATTGTAAGCTGTTCCAGTATTCCAATCTGTACATGTTTAAGAATAGGTATTTCCTGCCGGGACTGGTTTGGCTCAATGGATAGAGCGTCAGCTTGGGGACTGAAGGGTCCCGGGTTAGATTCCGGTCAAGGGCATGTATCTTGATTGCGGGCATATCCCCAGTTGGGGGTGTGCAAGAGGCAGCTGATCGATGACTCTCTCTCATCGATGTTTCTAACTCTCTATCTCTCTCTTCCTCTTTGTACAAAATCAATAAAATATATTAAAAAAAAAAAAAAAAAAAAAAAGAATAGGTATTTCCTGAGTGCTCAGTGTCAGGTGCTAGCCATGGGAGGATGTGATCTGTGGCCTTTGCCTTCCAAGAGTTAACTCGAAGCAAGAGTTTTTGAGGCTGGATGTGCTTAATCTGGGAGGGCTTCCTGGGGGATGTGGACAGCTGAGTTAAACAGGGAGAGAGAAGAACCTGGAGTGGACGGTGTCTCCATAAGACACTGAGGAGAAGGAGGGGAGAGACTTTTGCTTCCAAACAGCAAGCAGCTTTGATTGGCAGGAGGGAGGAGCTGTCCTGGAGGGAGCTGAGTATTGTGTGGGGCCTGGGGTGGGGGTCCTAAAACTGGCTGCAGAGCGGGGGACCACCCCCTGGGAGAAAGAAGCAGCTTCTGGCCCTGTCTGTACCCTCCACTGCCAGGCCCTCCGGGCCCACTCGTCATCACTGCCGCTCACACCGGCGCAGCACCTTCTCCTCAAAGACCCTGAGGAGAAGTAGGGCAGCGGGGTAGACCCTGTTTCCCAGGGGAGGAAACTGAGGCACAGAGGAGGCAAGGGCCTTGCCCAAAGGTCACATGGCTGGTGACAGAAAAACACTGAGCCCTGGTTTCTGCTCTGACAGTGACCCCTCTGGCCACGGCCTGCCGCCACCCTCACCCCGACTCATCCAGCTGGCAAGCAGCCCTCCGAGGCCAGACCAGGCCCTTCCTCCTTCCTTGTCACCCCGAGGGAGGGAGTTTCTTTGTTTTCGGGGAGTCAGGCTGCTGTGAGGCCGGGTGGGGCAGACTGTGCGATGCTTTGAGTGCAGAGACTTGGGTGATGGGGGAAGAGAAGAGCAGGACATGTGTGTCAAACTGTGTGCGAGAGTTTTGTCTTTTTTTTCCTTTTTTTTAATTAAGGTATTATATGTGTACATATCTTACCATTGCCACCCCCCCACTCCTATACATGCCCTGACACACACACAGAGTTTTGCGTCCATTGATTATGCTTATATGCATGCATACAAGTCCTCCAGTTGATCTCTTATCTCCCCCAGATCTCCCTCCCTTCCAGCTGTAATTTGACATTCTGTTTGATGCTTTATTGTCTCTGTATCTATCTTTTTGTTCATCGGTTTATAATGTTCTTTATTATCCATAAATGAGTGAGATCATGTGTTTCTCTTTCATTGACTGGCTTATTTCACTCAGCATGATGTTCTCCAATTCCATCCAGGTCACTGCAAATGCTAAGAATTCCTTCTTTCTTATGGCAGCATAGTATTCCATTGTGTAGATGCACCATAGTTTTCTGATCCAATCCTCTGCTGACGGGCACCTAGGCTGTTTCCAAATCCTAGCTATTGTAGATTGTGCTGCTATGAACATAGGGGTGCATACATCCTTTCTGATTGGTGTTTCCAGTTTCTTAGGATATATTCCCAGGAGTGGGATTACTGGGTCAAATGGGAGTTCCAGAGTTTTGTCTTTTATCTCACTTAATCCTCAGAATAATCTCATGAGTTATTCCTGAGTGAGAACCAGAAACTGGGGCTCTGTGGCTGTGACTTACCTGCAGCTGCAGACCAGTGAGGCTTCCCCACCTGGGCCTCAGGCATGGGGGAGAGAGGGGGCGTAAAGGAAACGCTTTGGAAATATGATCGGGGGCTGGGGAGGGGGGCAGAGGGTCGTGGCCAGTGAGGGAGCAGCCCAGCAGGCATGAAGGCAGGCCCACGTGGAGTGGGAGGGGGTCTTTGAGGCCGGCAGTCTTATCTGCTCCCCAGGCCTCTGCAAATGTCAGGAGGCCTCCCAGGGCACTGAGCAGCCAACGTGCAAACTCGCGGCCATGTTTACTTGTGGGGTGGGGTTTGTGTCATGTTTTTTCCCGGGAGTTGTCTGTGTATTTTAGTGTCATTGAATGATGTCTTTTGTCTGCTTCAACTGCGGGCGGAACGGTTGCCTTCGGGGACCAGAAATGAGTCCCTGGTGTGTCCCTGGCTGGCGAGATGACCAGCGGAGGTTGGGCTGCTAAGATCCTTGTCACTGCCAGGGGTGGACTTAAACCGGACCACAGCCTGGGAAACTCTTAGTTCTTACTTCCACGGGCAGAGCGAGAGGCTCCAACAACTCGAATTTGGATGGACTTTCGACTCTGAAGGGTACTGCACCCATTCGGTCACTGCACAGATATAGAAGTATAAATTGTAATCCTCACCTGGGGATATTTTTCCATTGATTTTTAGAAAGAGTGGAGTGGGGGAGGGGATGGACAGAGAGGGAGAAACATTGATGTGAGAGAGACATATTGATTGGTTGGTTGCCTCCCACACCTGCCTGCTCTTGACTGGAATTGTGACCCTTCAGCCCTCGGGTCCACACTCTCTCCAGTGAACCAACCCAGCTAGGGCTGGACAGGTATTTTGAGGTCCACTGTGTGCAAAGCACTTTAATAGAAAACAGCCATATTAAACTCTCTCAGGTGCCTAATGGTCTGCTAACCCGTCGTTACAATGCAGTGTGCCGAGTGCCTGAGCGGAGGGAGTGGCGGGAGGGCCGCTAACCCAGCCCGGAATGGGGTGAGGGCGGGACCGTGGATGCCGGACCTGCCCCCAGCGTGTCTGAACGCGGCGGGAGAGGTGAGACTGCACCACGCCACCCAGCCCTCCTGGTGCCCAGGCCTCGCTGACCCGCTGGCCTGACCCGCAGGGCCGGGTGAGGGAGCATTTATCACCTGCG